ACTTTTGCTATCCACTGGGCTATGGAGGGGGCATGCAATTGTTTCTACTGATCTGGGATGCAACTTCTAGGGGCCTCAGAGGTGAGGGAGAGAGGATCTCTTGTATATCTGCCTTTTGGAGGGTGTTGTGGTGGAGAAGGTAGCATAAAGTCCATACATTTCTAAGAACTGCAACATCCCTCTGCCCAGAACAGTTGCAGGAAAGAACAAGACCAAGAAATCTACAGGCTATCCCCAGGCATTACTCCACCCCTCCAGCACAACTATACACAGCTTATGTATTCATAATTGTCAGGGGAAAAGACAAGGAAGCTTGGGCAAATGCGCCAATGTTCAATATGGCCACGCCAATTCGCACAAAGAAGTGCGTATGCGCATAGGCGGGCAGCACGTAATCGCGCATTCCTGTGCACGAAACCGCACCGGCACACGCAGGGTGCACTAATTGCTGACACTCAGTAGCCTTTATAAGGACTGCAGCTCTGCTCAGCCCCTCCCGTTCCTGTGTTCCAGAGTTTACTGCTGATTATCTGTTACTAACCCAGCTTGATCCTGACCTTGTTCCTGTCTGCTGCTCTGTGTATGACCCTGGCTTGATCCTGACCTCGCTCCTGTCTGCTGCTGCTCTGTGTATGACCCCAGCTTGATCCTGACCCTGCTCCTGTCTGCTGCTGCTCTGTGTATGACCCCGGCTTGATCCTGACCCTGCTCCTGTCTGCTGCTGCTCTGTATATGACCCCGGCTTGATCCTGACCCTGCTCCTGTCTGCTGCTGCTCTGTGTATGACCCCGGCTTGAACCTGACCTTGCTTCTGTCTGCTGCTCTGTGTATGATCCTGGCCCTGCTCCTGTCTGCTGCTGCTCTGTGTATGACCCCGGCTTGATCCTGACGTTGCTCTTGTCTGCTGTTCCATATTGATTTTGGCTCTGGCTACTGACTACTCTACCCATCCTCCAGGATCCACGTGTTCTCTGGAGAATCTCCTCCTGCACCCACGGATTCCATTTCATTGGGCATTTCCAAGAAGCAACACCACTGGCAACCTGTGCTTCTTTGGGCACTGCACCTCCTGTTTCCATCTCCAGGGGCGCACTGCACTTAGCCATAAGGGGAACCCTCTCTCTATTGCAGCCTCAGGTCAGGTACATGACAATAATACTGTATATGATGATATTGCATTGTTCTAGAGTTAGATGTAAGTTCAGGTAGCAAAGTTGGGTTCCCGACCACAGGTAAAAAAGGGTTAGGTGTTGGAGAGATATCTTTTCTAGGAAAACTTTCATACATATAACCTGCAATAGCTAACAAGCAGCAGTGCCACTATGCTGGTATAAGGCTTCTGAGGGCTCTGTTATGAAGGCTTGAACTTATTTTGCATTTAACCTAGCCTTTCCTAACCTTTTACTCTTTAAGGACCCTTGAAAACATTTAAAGATCTTGGCGGACCCCTAAAATAGTTTTTTCATCTACACCCCGCAAGGCATTAGTATAATCAGGTGTAGAAATAGCAATAAATATTTGTAGTGGTGCACCGAAATGAAAATTCTGGTACCAAAACCGAAATCAAAAATTCAAAATGCACTTGGCCGAAAACCGAAACCCAAATGTGCAGTTTTTAAAAATTAATATATATTTTTTGGAATAAAATACACTGATTAAAAAAAAACAAAAAGAACCATATATACCCCAATTCTTTTTGTAAAATATGAAAGAGGATGTTGCGGCGAGTAAATAGATACCCAACATGTCACACTTTAAACTTGCACATGCTCGTCGAATAGCATTAAACTGCGGTACTTAAAAATCTCCAGGGGTGATGCTTTAAAAATGTCTACGGGTTAGCAGTGTAAAGTTACAGAAGAGGTCTAGTGCGAGAATTATTGCTCTTGCTCTGACGTTCGTGGTGATACCTCACGTGTGTGGTTTTTTAAATTTATTTAATGTTTTGGGTTTTTTTTTGCACTGTCCCTTTAAAAAGTTTTTAAATCACTTTTATTCTTATCACAAGAAATGCATGCATCCCTTGTGATAGAAATAATTTGTGACATGTCCTCTTTTTGGAGAGATATGGGGTCAATAAGACCCCACATCTCTGCTTTGCAATGTAATGCATTGGATCAAAAAAAAGCATTGATCTAGTGCTTTAAAAAAAAATGGCCGGAACCGGAAGTGACATTGCTCCAGTCCTCCATGGCCATAGAGGTGAGTGGAGGCCATCTTTCCTTCACTCATCTCTATGCCCAGCGCTGGGATCACCGGATGGTTCCTCAGGTAACGCTGAGAATTACCAAGGGGTGGCGGCGAGGGGCGGGGTTTTTTCGGCACCTGTATTGGTGCTTTTTTTCATTTTGGCCTAAAGGGGTGTTTTTGGCCGCAACATTTCAGCACATCCCTAATATTTAGATATCACAAACACTAATACGATATAAAACAGAAATGCATACAAAATAGTCGAATGGGAAAGTCACTAAAAATACAGAATTTGCATTGTTGCTGATCGCAAAACTCACTTTGCATTGGTGCCCAGTGCAAACTCCAAGACTGCATTTGTGTTATATTATTATTATCTATAATTACATGGTTTAATGCTATAATGTGTGTACACAGCAGCCTGCGTTGGTCGCTGTGTACGCATATCATATAATTATGTATATATAGGATCATTTGTATTTTATATACTTTGTAATATATTATTGTTTTTTGATATTACATTCCCAATTCTTTACTGTTCATTATTGTGATACCGTTCATCCTAAGGAAGTGGACTCAAGTCTGCAAAAGATGTTGATGCCATGGAAAGCTGTCTTTAGACCTGCTACATTAGAGAAACACATGTAGTAATACTGTATCTGTAGGTCAAGATTGCATTCTTTAGGCATTTAGATAGGTTGTTACGTTTTCCATGTAAATGGTGTTAAGCTATCTGCTACAGCTATACAGTGCTTAGCATAAATGAGTACACCCCTTTTTGAAAAGTAGGATTTTAATCAATATCTCAATGAACACAAGAACAATTTCAACATTTTGACAAAACTGAGTTTTATAGAACATTTGTTTAGCTCATTACATGAAAGTAATGTTAATAATATACATAACTTGGATTACAAAATCATCGGTTTTACGCAACTTAGTTGATGCAAAAATGAATACACCCCACAACAAAAAACTACTCCATCTAGTATTTTGTATGACCTCCATGATTTGTAAGGACAGCACCAAGTCTTCTAGACATGGAATGAATAAGTTGGTGACATATTGCAACATCTATCTTTTTCCATTCTTCAAGAAACACCTCTTTTAGAGCCTGGATGCTCGGAGAGTGATGCTCAACTTGTCTCTTCAGAATTCCCCATAGGTGTACTCTTGGGTTCAGATCAGGAGACATACTTGGATAATGAACCTGAAGTGTATTTTCTTAAAGAGCCAGATAGTGAGGATGAGTAGAAATTTGAAGACCAGCAGCTCCAGTGCTCCCTGGGAAGACATTGCAATCCTGTCCTGCCCCATAGCAGCAGAAGTAGCAGCCATAGCCAACAGTGACAGAGCTCCGAGGAGGGGCCACCCCCTAGTCTGCCACAGCGCTACTTGATGGTGTTCCCCCATAGCAATGCCACTGAAATCAGGAACACTGTAAAGGCTGTACCCTGTTTAGCTACACTGGCTGTTATATCCTTTCAGCACCAACATCCACTGGATCAACAAACAGTCTTTTATTTATGAGGCTACTGAATAGCTGCCCAGACTTGGCTTCTTGTTGCCTCCTAGTGAAGTGAGACTGGTTCCTAAAGGGTGAAGTCTCAGGGGTGTCTTTGTATTTGCAGGTATGGGCCCCCTACACTGCCACAGCCAATACCCTGATGAGCTTCAATGTAGATCAGCAGCAAGGTCTTTCAGAGATGGCAGCTTTCCCAGTCGGTGAATCAACTAGGCCAGACGTGTAGGGCTGTACACTGAGCACATGCTAGGCCCCAAATAGGCTTCTGGGCCTAAAAGCGTAGACAGTTCAGTAGCAACTCCTCATGACTCAGCCTTGATTTATACCTGCTCCCATCATGCCCTAGTGTCTTGAACCTCCTACTGGGATGGCTGGGAGACATAGAAAATTCATATATGTTGGCAGGGAAGCCTTCTACTAAAGCCAGTGATGCCAGTGACAACTACTGGCAACAGTGATAGATCACAAGCCCACTGAGCCTAGGGAGAAACCAAGTACACAACTGTACACATAAAAACTGAGCTGACTACCACCCAGCCAAAATCTAAATTTTCCTATCAACTTGCAACCTACAGTATGTATGAGGGTGCTACAATTGGTATAGGTATAATACTTTCTATAATTTTGTACAAATGAGTTGCAGTTCATGTTCCTGTTGATGCCTGAACTTATCATAAAATATTCTATAACTACTCTCCCTCTCAAACTACATGATATAATATTGGTGATGAAGATACACTATATTGCCAAAAGTATTGGGATGCCTGCCTTTATACATACATGAACTTATATGGCTTCCCAGTCTTAGTCTGTAGCGTTTAATATTGAGTTGGCCCACCCTTTGCAGCTATAACAGCTTCAACTCTTCTGGGAAGGCTGTCCAGAAGGTTTAGGAGTGTGTCTATGGGAATGTTTGACAGTTCTTCCAGAAGCGCATTTGCGAGCTCGAGCACTGATGTCGGATAAGAAGGCCTGGCTCACAGTCTCCGCTCTAATTCATCCCAAAGGTGTTCTATCGGTTAAGGTCAGGACTCTGTGGAGGCCAGTCAAGTTCTTGCACCCCAAACTCACTCATCCATGTCTTTATGGACCTTTCTTTGTGCACTGGTACGCAGTCATGTTGGAATAGGAAGGGGCCATCCCCAAACTGTTCCCACAAAGTTGGGAGCATGAAATTGTCCATAATGTCTTGGTATGCTGACGCCTTAAGAGTTCCCTTCACTGGAACTAAGGGGCCAAGTCCAACTCCTGAAAAATAAACCCACACCATAATCCCCCCTCCACCAAACTTTACACTTGGCACAATGCAGTAAGGCAAGTACCTTACTTATTTAAAATATTTGAAGTGTCTTGCGAGCCAGAAAGCAGAAAAAAACTCTTTATTAAACACTTTAAAGTTGGATCGCAACCTCTAGCACATAACTACCAATGTGGCAAAACGCAAAATAAAATCATATAGTGTTGCGCTCCCAAACCTCCAATTATTATATTATTATTTAAATCACTTAATCTCTATCCTAAAAATCATATAATAGGAGAAATGTGTATAAAAAAAAAAATACCAATAATTAAAAATGATGTCTGTGATTAATCATAAATTATAAATACTGATAATCTTATGCTTTATATCAATTCAAATTAACCTTGTGCATAAATAAATAAAAACAATGAAAAATGAAAAAATTTTTGAAAAAAACGTCCCATATAATAAAAGTGACTTTGTGCTGAAAAATCTTCAATCTATATTGATTATATATCCGTGACTGCTTGTGAATCCTCCCAAAAGTGAAGATGTAGGCTCACCTCATTGGAAGCCTGCAATTAGGCTATATAAGCATTCGGTTCTCCTCCCTTGGAACCTACTTGTTAGGAACTCTTGCTTTGAGAAAATAGATATATCCGTAATAGACGATATGTGCTATGGATCACTTCTCCAGAGGATGCAACTCCTCTATATTCTCATCTCCATGCGGTTCTCCACATATAAAAAAGATCTCGACATGGTGCTTTATCTTTTATAAAGATCGGTTTTATTTGCTCAGAATATGGCACTCACATATATTGTATTCAGACAGTGGTAACTCGAATACGATCCGAAACTCCCGCTGACTGTCGGAGCTGTACACCCGTGGTCCGGCAAACGAACTGACTCCCTCCGAGTGACGTTACAGTCCCACCCCTACGCGTTACGCCACTGGTCACGTGGCTTCAATAGGGGGAAATCCCCCTGATGAAGCCACGTGACCAGTGGCGTAACGCGTAGGGGTGGGACTGTAACGTCACTCGGAGGGAGTCAGTTCGTTTGCCGGACCACGGGTGTACAGCTCCGACAGTCAGCGGGAGTTTCGGATCGTATTCGAGTTACCACTGTCTGAATACAATATATGTGAGTGCCATATTTGAGCAAATAAAACCGATCTTTATAAAAGATAAAGCACCATGTCGAGATCTTTTTTATATGTGGAGAACCGCATGGAGATGAGAATATAGAGGAGTTGCATCCTCTGGAGAAGTGATCCATAGCACATATCGTCTATTACGGATATCTATTTTCTCAAAGCAAGAGTTCCTAACAAGTAGGTTCCAAGGGAGGAGAACCGAATGCTTATATAGCCTAATTGCAGGCTTCCAATGAGGTGAGCCTACATCTTCACTTTTGGGAGGATTCACAAGCAGTCACGGATATATAATCAATATAGATTGAAGATTTTTCAGCACAAAGTCACTTTTATTATATGGGACGTTTTTTTCAAAATTTTTTTCATTTTTCATTGTTTTTATTTATTTATGCACAAGGTTAATTTGAATTGATATAAAGCATAAGATTATCAGTATTTATAATTTATGATTAATCACAGACATCATTTTTAATTATTGGTATTTTTTTTTTTATACACATTTCTCCTATTATATGATTTTTAGGATAGAGATTAAGTGATTTAAATAATAATATAATAATTGGAGGTTTGGGAGCGCAACACTATATGATTTTATTTCAAGTACCTTACTTATGGCAACAGCCAAACCCAGACACGTCTATCAGATTGCCAGAGAAGCATGATTCGTCACTCCAGAGAACACATCTCCACTGCTCTAGAGTCCAGTGGTGGCATGCTTTACACCACTGCATGCGACACTTTGCATTGCACTTGGTAATGTAAGGTTTGGATGCAGCTGCTCGGTTATGGAAACCCATTCTATGAAGCTCTCTACACACTGTTGTTGTGCTAAAATGAAGGCCACATGAAGTTTGGAGGTCTTTAGCTATTGATTCTGCATACAGTTGGCGACTTCTGCGCACCATGAACTGACCCCATTCTGTCATTTTACGCGGCCTACCACTTGGTGGCTGAGTTGCTGTTGGTTCCAGTTGCTTCCACTTTGTTATAATACCACTAAAGTTGACCGTGGAATATTTAGTAACAAGGAAATTTCATGGATGGACTTATTGCACAGGTGGCAACCTATCACGGTACCATGCTTGAATTCACTGAGCTCTTGAGAGCTACCTATTCTTTCACAAATGTTTGTAGAAGCGGTGTGCATGCCTAGGTGCTTGATTTTATACACCTGTGGCTATGGAGGTGATTTCATCAAATTGTATTGGCTGAATCCAATGATTTGGAGGGATGTCCCAATACTTTTGGCAATATAGTACATCTTTGTAGCTCTACAGCAATGAACACCTTTTCTTTCATACAGTGGGGAACCTGCAATGTCTTTTACTGCTTGTATGTGTTTGAGATTTACATACTTGCTGCTAATCAGGAAGACTTACAGTACCTACTGCTAGAAAGTATGCTTTACCTATTCAATGCCTGGGAGCAAATGAACAGTGTATTTTTCTATACTCTTCCAGCAGCAGATACCTGTTATAATAATTGCTCTCACTGAGTTAAAGAACATCTTTGTGCCTGTAAATGTGGATGCAGAATTATATAAATTCTGGTAACATGGACAGCGTAATTGCAAATCCATGTTATAATTTAAAGCAACTTTGAAAGAATTGGTTGTTACCTATGAGTTTGGTGCTCTAACAGTTGAAATAATTAGAATCCACTTTCTACAAAAAAGAAAACTCACCCCCCGCAGTGTAAGATTGCTCTTAGAACATGGTTTAAAGCTAAGGTTTAGGTATGATTTTTTTTTTTGCATAGGTAGAGCTTGGACCAACTATGCATTTCTCATACCTGACTGATCCCTGTGTAAGCTGAAAATCACTGCCCTAGTCACCACTACAACAGCGAAAGCAGCAGTCTTCCAGGTCCAGGGCTAAGCTGCTACAATTTTGCATAGTAACCATAAGGGGTTTCTAGATAAGCACTGCTGCCACTCGGAGAAAGTCTTGTATTTTTTTCAATGAATACAAGATATTCTCTGACTGGACAAGTGGAGAGACGGGGCAGTGATGTCACTATCTCCATCTTGTTCACTCAAAGAATGCCTTATATTTATTGAAAAAAAAGGCTTTCTCTGAATGATTGCAGTACTGAGCTAATAACCTCCTGTGGTTACTATGTGTAACAGCCTTTAGCTTAGCCAGAGAGAGTTTGTTTTATTTTTTTAGGCAGAGTATTGGCCTGGGATGAGTCAGCCTGGGAGTAAGGCAGAGAGGTCACCTCAGGACAGGCTAGGGAGGTCCTGAAGGTCAGGGCTTCTGCAGCCCTTCCGCCTCTCCAGAAATCTGAGAGCTCTCTGGAGGAGGGATGGAGGAGGGGAGGAAGCTCGGATCTGCATACTTGAGGGACCTTGGCCAATCCCCTGATAGAGGTGCCTAATGGATGGGGACACTGTGATGAGGACATTGATGACTGGAGACATTGTGATAGGGACACCTGATGGATGAGGACACTGTGGTAGGGACACCTGATGGATGAGAACACTGTGATAGGGACACCTGATGGATGAGGACACTGTGATGGGGACACCTGATCGATGGGGACACTGCGATGGGGACACCTGATGTATGAAGGCACTGTATGGAAACACTGTGATAGGGACACCTGATGCATGGAACACTGTGATGGGGAAACTTGATGGGAGCAGTATATGGGGACATCTGATGTATGGGGACGCTGTTATGGGGACACCTGATGGATGGGGACACTGTGATGGAGGAACCTGATGTATGGGGTCACTGAGATGGGGGGAACCTGATGTATGGGGTCACTGTTACATACAAAGTTGCATAGTTAATCTGGTTGAAAAAAGACACTAGTCCATCCAGTTCAACCCTCTCAAAAAACACACACAAATAGAAAACCTCCATATACACTATCCTATACCCACAGTTGATCCAGAGGAAGGCAAAAAAACAATAAAGCATGATCTAATTTGCTGAAGCGGGGAAAACATTCCTTCCAGGTCCCCCAAAAGGCAATCAGATATTCCCTGTACCAAGTTTACCTATAAATATTGGCATCCAGTTATAATATGTGTATCTAGGAAAGAATCCTGGCCTTTTTTTGTTTAAACAATCTACTGAGCTAGCCAGAACCAGCTCCACATTTTCACAGCTCTTACTGTGAAGAAGCCTTTCCATATTTTGTCTTGGAAATTCGCTTTAACGAATTTCTCCTTACCGTGAGTACTCGCAGTTGGATGCGCAGAAATCCCCCATAAAGCTGTGCGAATCTCGCTTACCACGACTGCAGCTAAACTACACGATTCCTGCCCATCCAAATACTTTGGTTCTGTTGAATTTGTGGGTGATGGAGCTCCGTTACCCTGGAATGATCACACGACACTCTAAGGCTGGTTGCAACTCACATAAGGGCCGGCTTTAGGCTCAGCTCTCTGTTTTTATTAAGAATACACACATGCCCCCCACATGAATAAAGTCAAACCCTCCCACCGAACAATACAATGGGGAGTACCTATACAGAGGATGTACATTCCAATTGGAGCATAGCCTTTGCTATTATCTATCACTGGTCCTCCCCCATGAACCTTCTGAGGTCAGCAGACTTCCTCCCCTTCCCCCCTATGAGCCATCTGAGGTCATATTTCCTGTCCTACTATCTTCTATTGGTATGTACATTCTCTGTACAAGCACTCTCTAAAAATATCAGTCTGTACCTGGATGGGCCCGATACGATCTTTATTAAAACACATCCATCCCAGATACAGTTTCAAGTTGGTAATGGGTTGTAAGATATGCACAAGCCTACACGTGGAGTTCACACCGCTTGCGCATTGCGTTATGAAGCCCACGTGGTACCATGCTGCTGATATGTGGATACAGGCCCACGGTCTACTGACAGCGGCATTCGCATGGAATGCCGTGGTGGTATACACGCCGGTCTATAAGCGCAGATCTGCCATCTCATCCATTACCAAGCCGAGTACTGTAATACATACATTGTACATGCGCATGGCCCAATTGCAGCCTTCAGAGCTTTAATTAAGCCACACGAGAGACATATGAATAACACGAATACATGACACATTTAAAGTTCGACCAACAATACAAAATTTCCATGACATTCCCTCCTGTTTTATCATATTCTCCTCGTGTCCCTTCTTGATCTTCTTCAGCTTGATGGGTGTAGTCTCAAACTTCAAAGAGTTCCTGTAGTTGTCCCTGAGAATAAAGCTCCACGGGGTACCTGAAACAACAAGACCCGACGCAGACTCGACGCAAACAGGCTTGATTGAAGCGATGATCCTCAAGAGCGTTGGAACCTTCACTACAGGAAGGCTCTTGCAAAAACCACAAACAGACTTGTGGTATGAATAAAGCTTGTGATCCCACGGTGGTCTGGGGAGATCCAGCAACAGATTCTCAAATTGCCCCTGCAGACGGGGCCACACAAGGCTGGTCTCGACCCAGACAGTTTTCCAAATCGCAGACACAAACCATGATGAGGCTTGAAGCTTGCTTGAAGGTCTTGGAGAATGTGGTCTTCAGAGAGATAAATTAGAGGGAAGCCAGGACGTAATCTGTAGAGAAGGTGGATGGTTGGTGAGGTCTTCCTCCGATCAGTGGTTGGAGTGGGATCCCAGGAGCGGGCATGGAGATGTGGTCGTCTGCCCGAGCTTGGTTTACACGGTCGATGAGGCAACAGGAACATCTCACCGCGGCATATAAAAGGCAGATGAAAAAGAGAAGCATCAGGACATACACTCCCACTTCCTTCAACCAAGATCCGATGGAGAACAGGAAATCTCCCAATCCTCCCAAACCCTTGAACGGATTCCAACCCTCACTAGCTATAGCTCTAGCTTTTCCCTGTAGTTCACTAACTTTGTCCATATGGGCCTGGACCTTGTCATCGGTGTCTTCTATCCAAGTACAACAATCCTCTCCGATGAACTCACAGAACCCCCCTTTGGCGGCTAAAAGATAATCGAGGGCCATCTTCTCCTGAAGCACTAAAATTCCCATCTGCCGTTGTTCTTGGGCAATTTCTCTGACAGCCTCTACGGTTTCGTTAAACATACTATCCACGATGACAGAAAAATTGTTCAGGCGCTTCATAAGTTCTATTCCCCATCCTGTCCATGAGGGGAACCAAGCCCATGCCTGGTCGCCCTCAGAGAACAGCTCCCTGCGAACTCTCCCTGCCATCCTTACCTTCTTGTGGACCATCAACTCTTCATGGTCCATCACTACATAGGATGCGGGGACTAGCTTTATGAGGGCACACGAACCTTTCGCGTTCTGGGGAAATGTTCTATAGGCTGCCGAACCACACAGAAAATAGTATGGACCTGTCAGAGCAGAGCAGGAAGAGTTCCTCGTTCGGCCTCTGGCACTGAGCAACAGTTGCACAGACTGGGGGATTGCTCCCTCAGTCTGCACATCACATCCGTCCTTCCAACACACGTGGTCTGGTCGGTCAGTGTGGTTACTCAGAAAGGAAGTCTGGTTAGTCAGATTGACAGTTATACCTCCCTCGCAGGTGGTAGTCCCAACAAACTTGTTACCTGTGCCAAAGCTGATGTTAAAGCACACCTGAGGGCTGCCTAGCTGCCCAGTTACCCATAATGGACTGGTGAGGAGGGCCTACAGGAGCTAGAGCTAATATTGGTGCTGAAACTGATGTTACCTGCTAAAAATGTGTCATTAAGTTCTACCGACAAATGTCTACGTGGGGGCTGACCAGGGGTCCCTTGCTTTTTCATGCCGACGCGGATGTCATATAGGGCATGAACAGCGGCCATTGCGGACATGTGATGACTGGGTGGGGGCTTAGAGCATACCCAACAGTTGGTTTTGTTGGCGGTTCTGGCTAAACGCAGGTGCATTTTAAATAAAAGGTTGGGGTATCTGCCGTCTTTTCCTCCGTTCACACACATGTATGACATACAAACAAAAAGAAAAAGGAAAATGACACCCCTCATTCTCTGGTGTAGCTGAGAAGCTTCTTGCAGTGGCTTGCGTGCACCCAGTTGTCTCGTCCCTCGAGCTTGAGTGAGGTAGGTGTCGTCAGCTGGACTTGGTATGGTCCGGTGAACCGTGGCTCGAGTCCGGTTCTTTGATGTTTCTTTAGGACGACCCAATCACCTGGCTCAATAGAAAGAACACCTGTTATTGTATTTGGATCGGGGAGCGATTC